GGAATATTCTCCTAAAATCTCAGCTTTCGAGTTTTTCTGATTCCCAAGTTAGCAATTTTCCACCAAGACTTTCAGAGGGCCGCACGTGACCTGGGAGGATACTTGGGGGCTGGGGGTTTTTTTTGCAGCTTCTGGCAGGCCGAGGAGTCCTTCCGACCCCGCGGGCTGACGCCCCTGCCTCCCCTCCCCGACCTCAGCCAGCTCTAGTTATCTCTGGCGTCCGCGGAAACCAGGAGCGCTGAATTGACCAACGGAGTTTGCACGCACCGGAGATGCACTCATGTTAGTCGCGATGTCTTCGAGAGCGGAAAGGGGGAGGGGGGGAAGGAGGAGTGGGATGGATGACTCTGTGAGATGACAGTACGAGGCAGCAGGGCAGGCTGTGTAACGGCAGGGCAAACTGTGATAGAATCACTACAAAAAGGCAGTATGGGCCTGAAGGGTCCTGCGAGGAAAAGAAGGGGCCGGAACAGCGGCCCCGTAGCTAAGAATATTACCCGGATGGGCGCCAAAATTCGTGCCTGAAATGGCAAAGCGCCGTCCTCCTTTCCCCTCTCCGCTCTCGAAGACATCGCTACTAGCATGAGTGCATCTCCGGTGCGTGCAAACTCCGTTGGTTAATTCGGCGCTCCTATGTTTTCCGCAGACGCCAGAGATAACTAGAGCTGGCTGAGGTCGGAAAGGGAAGGCAGGGACGTCTTTTAGTCGTGATTTTGAAGTGCATGCAACAAGCTTACTGAACTTTCCCTCAGCATCTAATTCCTTGCTTAGCAACATAAACCCACATAACTCTCACCTTCCCTTTTCTTCATATCCCCGTCCCTGTTTCCATTTTCTACCTTCAGGCAAGGTCTCTGCTCCTTTCCAGTCAATACCCCAGTCAGAAGGGGAGCAATAAACCTGAACCCTACCGCTAATTTACACGCACAAAATGAATCAAGAAGCACACACAACAAAGAAACACACATAAAACGAATCATCTTGTGTGTCCCTGATAAGCTGACTTTTTAAGGCATTTCACCTTTACAATTTTGTTAGCTATATCACATTTTGCAGTTCAGTGAAACCAAAGAAAATTCATGGTAGGGAAGAACGAGATCGACGCAGACCGTAACTGCCAGAAGGAAATTTGTTGAGATCGAGATTTGAAAAATATGCATTACTGAGAAGAGTTTTAGCAGAAGGACGTTTCTGTGGATCGTAGTCAAGCATCTTCAGCAACATTGTGAGGCCACTTGGGTCGATATATTTTTCAAATTCACTTTCAAGTGTACTGTCGGAACGGTGATGAAAAAACTGGTACACCTCAGGAGTCGGCGCTTTTCCTTTAACGGGTGATGAAATAGTGCGAAATATTTGGTCAAGCTGTTCGCATTTTGAATTACCCGAAAACAACGGATCTTTGGTGGCCATTTCAGCAAACACACATCCACAGCTCCATATATCCGCTTTCTTGGGACAGTAATCAACGAAAAGCATTTCTTCCGGAGACATATACCACACCGGGTTAACTGTACGATCTCTCAACGATTTTTCCAATTCTTCCGGAAACTTATACACTGTCTTAAAATCGTTATCTCTCATCGGTGTGCCATCTGCGTATACCAAACTGAAATTGGCAAGTTTCAGGGTACCTTTGCCATCCAGAATTAGGTTTTCTGGCCTCAAATCAAAATGCGAAACACCGCGACGATGACAGAAGGACACACCTTGCAGCATCTGATACAAAAAGGACTTCTGCTGGCTTCTGTCAACCAGCTGGTCTTCGGCAAGCGACATCATATATTTTTTCAAGTTTGTCGGAAAATCTTCAAAGATCATAAAGATGAAATTTCCGTCCAGTATGGTAGCATTTAAAACCACAATGTTCGGATGTTTGAGCTCCTTCAACAGAGAAGCCTCTCGAATCTCTGGAACTGAATGTTTTCTACGCCTCACTCCTCGACAATATTTCTTCACAGTGACGATTTTTCCAGTTCGATTCTCAGCTCCTTTGTACACTACGCCATACGGTAGCCGGTCATACAGCGCGAGTTGAGAGTATCCACGCGGGAAGTTCGTGTTCTCGGGACTCACCCGTCGCACTAAAAAGAACTTGTTGTACTACTGTAAAAAGATAACAAATGCAATGTTAAACGAATACAGAAGAAAGGCCGCAAAGCAAGAAGGGCGGCGCAGGAAAGAAGGGAGCAGGCCAGGGACTCGAACAACTTTCTAGCCTATGCATTTTTGCTATTATGCAGATGCAACTTAGTTGACAGCGTACCGGCTCCCAATCCACGCCCAAAGAATTCAGCACTCCAGCTCCTCTGGTTGCGGACAAATCTAGCGTTTGCAGAGAAGCATAGCCGAATTCTAGTAACTGGCGGATTTATAGGTCGGATGGTTTGCAAGATTGTACAGATTTAAGGCAACAACTATAACTCGGCTCTGCTGGTGGTCGTTGGTACTTGGGAAGCCCTCTGCCATCTCTGGCAACAGTGTTTCGTGGCGTCGCCCACCGGGACAATCTGGCAGCTTGCCAGAAGAGCAGGGCAACGTTACCCAAATCTGTGCAATCTCGGCGCAGTAGCTGTATGACCTGGCTGGTGAGAAGGCGGGATAATAGAGAGGTAGCCGTGGTTGTGGGGGTGCGTGGAGGGGTGAGCGGCAATTAGTGGATGTACAAATGTCTTCTCCTCCCCCTCCCTGTCTCTTCCTAAGCATCAAATTCTCCAATTTCCCCTCCCCCTCTGGTAGTGAGGACTGAGAGCAGTGGGCGACTAAACTCGCCCCCGCCATTAGCACCAAATTCAAACTACCGTCATCCGCCGTTGGGCAACCCTACCTGCCTTCCGAAAAAAAAATTTTTTTTGCTGCTCGTGTGTGAGACGGGCCGAGCCGAGCCATGTTATAGTAGATCTTCAGATTTAGAGCAACTGCTGTATGAGTTACCCACCCGCAGATGCCTTTCTATTGAAACATTCAACAAAAAAGTTGTCCAAACTAACACATGTGAAGAAACCGACAATGGCAGTGGATCAGAGCAAATGTGTGGAGCAGCTTTATTTCCCCGATTAATTTACACTGTTCAACAAATCATTTATACATAACTCATATAAATAGTACCTGGGATGTATTCATCTTCCTCGCTGAAGCCGGGAACACGCGACAAGGCCATCGCTTCGATTTCCAAAACTCCTCCAATACGGCTTATAACTTTGCTTGTTGCACAAAAAATTCCGCAACAACCTGTAAATCGTCATGGAAATGCTTTCAAAGGGGACCACATGTGCGATGTGAACGAGTCGAGTTGGAGCAGGGACGAGTGCTGCACAGCAGCACGGTGACCTTGCAAAGGACAGATGAGACCTCAAAACTGAGGGAATGCGCAATTTATACTCCCTCCCTCCTCTTCGCTTCTTCAACTCACTGGTTACCGCTGTTAAAGGGAACATCGAGTTCACTAGTAACCGAAATCTTTTGCTAATTTCGACCAATTTAAGTACCAAGGAAAAGCAATCAGCTGAGAAAA